AGGGTGGTTTCGGGTTAAGGAATTCAAGTTTTGGGCGGTTTCGTTGGTGGGGCTGGGGCGGGGGGTCTATTGCGCTTATGTGGTTCTGGAAGGAGGGTGGTTTCGGTGGTGGTGCAGGGGGAGGGGGTGGCTGTCGTGGCTGGGTTGGGGAGTGGTTGTTGGGCTGAAACGCAGTCAAGAGATAGAGTGCAGTGTGTGCTTAGAACGTGTGCTCTCTAAGACAGCAGCCTTTGAACGGAAGCTTGGTTTGCTATCAGAATGTGATCACCCATTTTGTATAACTTGCATCAGATTTTCTCTAGAGTTGGAGCCAGTTGGAGCCAGAAGTATATTTTGGTCTTTTTTATTTTTCATATATTTTTTTACTTTCATGTATAATTTCTTTATAAATCTAAGAAAAAGAGAACTTTAGGGAGCTCCCCTTAGTATTCTATTAAATTGTGTACATGGATGTTCCATCATTTCGAAATTCAACAAGTCTTCTCTTTTTCTTTCATGTTGTTTATGACCTACTTTTTACATCCTCATCCAAAACACTTCAATAAAAAAAATCTTATTTATAATTTTTGTGCAGGGATCTGTCTTCTAATAAGGGACTGACTGGTTTTCTTCCTGAAGCAATTGGGAATGTAGCAAAACTTTCAAATCTGTAAGAAGTGTGATTTTACAAAATGCACTGTATATGATTACTTAAAAACTTATAATCTCTTGCAACAATAATTCTTTCCTGCTGCAATATAGAATCCTGGTTGGCTGCAACTTCATTGGCAAAATTCCTAACAGCATAGGATCCCTCTCAAATTTGATATTCTTGTAAGAAATTTTAGTTCACTTTTCTTTCTTACATATTTTCTTATAGCTTATATTGTGTGTTGTGTAAATGTTTTTAGTTGGTAGACTATTGCGCTTTAATTTTGAGTTCCCCTGAGTGAATTTTTTATGGTAAATTTTCATCTATTCTGTTCAGTTGTCCTTGTAATAAAAAGGGGGTTATATTGCCCCCCCCTCCCCTTTATACCTCTCACACTAAGTAATATCTGAATTCTGCATTTCGGTGTTCTGCAGATCGTTGAATTCTAATAGTTTAAGCGGGTCAATACCAAGTTCAATTGGTAAATCTTTCTAAGCTCTATTGGCTGGATCTAGCTGAAAACAAGCTTACTGGAACATTACCTGTCTCAAATGGGACTAAACCAGGTCTTGATATGCTGCATAGTTGCAAGCACTTGTATGTCTGACGCATTTATTTTTTGATTTGAAAATTTCCGGAATCCTTTATCGAATTTCACCATTATTGTATTGCCCTCTTTCAATCTTTTAATTTTCTATTTCTTGTTGTTTGTCTATTGATTGCCACTTTGCCAGTCACTTTGGAAGAAATCAACTCTCTGGCTCAATTCCACCTCAGCTACTCCATGAAAATATGACACTTATTCATTTGTAAGTACCCTGAAAGAATATCGAATTCGTTCAGTGGGTCTGTCCCTTCAAACATTTCCAATCTTACTGAAGTTACCGAGATGTAAGTAATAAAGTTTCTTTACTTGTGGACTTTGTTCTACCTGAATTGTCCACACCTTTAGATTTATGAACTGGCAGTCCTAATACACTGTCTTTAAGAAGGAGAGAGGGAAAACAGATGGATGATAAGAAGCTATGTTACTCAGAATTGGCTATTTGTATTGGATAGGAGATCTTGTCTAAGTGTCAGACTTAGCTGCTTTATGAAAGATTTTGGATGATTTTGGTCCGAAATGAGATAATAAATTGTCTACACACTTATTTTAGTGTCAAGTACCTAGCAGTCAACACGATATAAAATGAGGTGTCTGAATAGTACGGGCTGTTGGCCATGTGGTCCAAGTGATTGAAGTTCTTTTACTTTCTTTCAGAAAAGAATGCTGCATCTAGTTTAGACTATGGGTCTGATGTTCCTCTTTAGGGATCATGCAACTCTATGGTTCCTTATTAGGTTATTTTGTTGCATATAGTTTCCAGTATCCATGCTATGCTCTTAGAAAAATCACCTTGCTGAATGGATTTGTTTCTTCTAATTTATTAACATAGATTCCAACAAATACATTTTTTTAAGTAGTAGCAGAACAGCAAAGCAATGCAAGTGGTAGCAGAATAGCAATAGCAGAACACAAAGTAGCAGAAGCAGAACAATAGTAGCAGAAGCAGTAGCAGCAGTAGCAGTAGCAGAAGCAGAACAACAGTAGTTATGATATCCTGGCTATGATAGTTCTTGGAGTTATCGGAGGTGTTCTGGGCAGCTTTTATAATTATCTTGTTGACATGCACTATCGTTCCCAACGTTGTAGCACCAGCCCAGCAAAACAGCTATATGTTTTTTTTTTTCAGTTTTTAAAGTGTAATATTACAAGTTATTGAGGCAAATATATGTGTTTTATGTATATTATGATTATATATAAGTATTTGGTACAATTTAAGTGAAAAAAATGCAAAAAAAAAAAATGCAAAAAAAAATTTTAATTTTTTGGGGCACTTTTGCCACCGGGTCAGTGTGAAAACCGGTGGGAAATGTTATAGTTTTGCCACCGGTTCACTTGAAAACCGGTGGGAAAAGTCCTCCAGCTATAAGATAAATCACATGTTTTTGCACCGGTTCACTCCAAAACCGGTGGGAAAAGTGGTTTTTGCCACCGGTTTTGATCCGGTGGGAAATCTTTGGGGATTTAGCACCCCCCAAATCAATAACGGTTCAAAACCGGTGGGGAATGTGTTGTTTGAACCGGTGGGGATTGAGGTTTTTCGCCTAGTGCAAGTTGGATCACTTACAAAGAGGATGACTCTTCTGTTAGTGGTTGGGTGTTTATGTTTGGGGGAGGTGCCATTTCATGGTCTTCCAAGAAACAAACTTGCATTGTCGATTCCACTGTGGCAGAGGAGTTTATAGCTCTAGCTTCAGCTAGTAAGGAAGCTGAATGGTTGAGAAATCTCATGTTAGAATTGCCTTTATTGCCAAAGCCTATATCACCGGTGGCTATTCATTGTGATTCGGATTCGGCATTGATAAAGGCATATAGTCAAGTGTATAATGGTAAGTCTCGGCATATTTCTCTTAGGCATAGCCTAGTGAAAGAGCTTATCACTAATGGGGTTATAAGTCTTGACTATGTTCTTACAAAATTGAATTTGGCAGATTGCTTTACTAAAGCATTGCCAAGGCATTCCATCATCTTTGCTTTGAATGGAATGGATTTGTGTCCAAGAAACACGAATTTGTGAAACCCAATCTAACGCTTGAAGAAACATCAAGTCTTAGATTCAATGTGGTTGAATTGCATTTTTGATGTTTGTTAGCAATGTTTTGTGACCCATATTGCTATGATGCTTGTAATGTTATTAGGTAGCGTTTATTTAAAGTACTCCAGATTTAGAGTTGAGAAACTCTAGATGAAGGTGTCTTATCACAAGGGCACTATTACGTATGTGAGAACCTACCTATGTAAGTTCGTAGTTTAGCCGCTTCAAAAAGTCTAAATGGATATATTGACTTTGATGAACTTATAAAAGATATGGACACATGGCTTTATAAAAGTGTCAAGTGATGTTAAATTCGATTTGTCTTGTGTGTATTTCACCTTCGAATGGTCGAAGACATCCGTGTGATTCAATCCATAGGGAAATCATGAGATATGACCATCGTTAAGTGTGTTGTACTAGGTGTCAATTCAATCCGTAGGGACATTGGCATTGATGCATGAGATGTGGCATAATTGGCAGAAGTGGAGAAAGTTTTAAAAGTATACACTCTAAATGGGGGAGGATTGTTAGTAGTTTAGAGTGTATAAAAGGGGAGAACCCTCTCCCAGTTGGGGAGAGGTCGCGGCTGGAAATCAGGGGAAACAAAGCCTCGAAAAGACGTGCCCACGGCCTTATGTGCTGCGCCCGCGGGTGACTGGGGAGAGCCCTCTCCAAGGGTGCGACCAGCCTTCTACAGGTTTCAAAGGATGAGCTCTAAATTATCCTGTCCGCGCTCGCGGCTTGGACACCCGCGCCCGCGTCGACGGCTTGGACACCTGCGCCCCCGTCGATTCAATTTTGCGATTTATCGTTCTTTTTATTCAAAAGGCGGATTGTGAAATTGAATAACAAGATTCATTTTCAGTTTCTCTCCTCTCCAATTTTCTCTATTCTCTCCACATTTTTTCATTGAAGAATCTTGCAAACTTATCATTGAAAACTCTATTAATCTAGCCAAATATTTGAGAATTTATCATCTAATTTCGTCTCTAAGTGCTAAGAACGATTTGTTGTCTTTTGTATCTCAAAGAGAATTTCCAGTAAAAATCCAAGCACCGTTGTGGGGGAAATTAATCTCTTTAGGAAAGTGTTTCACACGCCTAAGACAAAGTATCAAGGTTTGAGACTCACGTGGTCATAAAAATTCTCATGTTCATGTTCATTTGAAAGGCTTGCAAGTGAGGCAAGTTTGTAATCTTTCATATTAGTTAATTTTATTGTAATTTCTGTAATTCATTGAATTAGTAATGCTTGGTTTGAATACACTTGGTTGTATTGATTTGGTTGTATAATTTTATGTAATTATTCACTGTTTTAAGTTTTGTTCCCACATAAATTTTTATTTGAATTATACTAAAAAACCTAACATTACTTACATCTTTCGATTGTACGAGATCATAACTTTACACACACATCCATTTTGATCCCACCATTGTCTTCCTATCCGTCTTCCTTTCAACAAATTCACCCCAATCAAATATCAAAAAAGTACATATACAGAGTTGTAACATAACTCTTAACAAAGCAAACAAAAAAAGAACGGAAAGAATACCAAAATCTTACGCATAAAAAAAATCTCAACTTTATAATATTAAAATCTAAATACATTAATTATACGAATACCCTCCCTCCGTAATCAAGGATAAAAAGGAAATAAAAAAAAAAAAAAAGGTACACAACTCCCAAAGAGTTGCAGGTGGTAATTGCAGCTCCACCCCCTTTATTTTCTCTCTCTTTCGCTTTCCTCTCTTTTATTGATTCCCATAGGCTAATTTAATTTATTATTATTCAATTCAAGTTCCATAATTTTCTCTCTCCTAAATTATTTTTCCATTTTTATTTAATTTTCCCATCTCTATATAACTCATCTACCCCCAACTTTATCACCCTTCTTTCTTTCTCGCCTACTCCTTTTTGGCCTCATTTTCATGTCTTCTTTTCTCTCCATTTTTGCTCCCAACTACCTTCTACTTTCCTACTAATTTCCATCTCCAGGTATTTTTCTCTTTAATTCATGCTTTGTTCAATTTATTTCATGAATTTCGAACATGATTAATTGTTGCCGAAACCTATTTCTACGATTTTGATTTCCGATTTCATAAATTTGAGCTGAAATTATTTTATACTTTGGTATAATCCTTCAATCGATGAATTTTATGAAAATAATTGAGATTTATGCTTTAAAAAAGCTTTCACTTTCCTGAATTAGAGATTTCCAAGTTCGAATCTGCATGTTACGAAATTAACAAGCGAAACGCTCCTTTTTTTTTTTGCAGGCGTTACAATTTTTGATAATTTTAGTGTTTCGCGAATTGTGTAAATACAGCGTAAATACATAGAATTAATCAAGAGATTAGAAAATAGAGGAGAGAGAAAATTGGAAGATCTATTGCTATTGATCTTCGAAGGATGAATTTTTGTGGGATCCAGCAAAACGGCGTCGCATCTCGTGAAGAGATGATGAGTTTTGTGTCGATTTCTGGTGGTCGGAATACTGATCGGAAAGACTCCGTGGTTTGCCCTAAACCTCGCCGTGTCGGCGCCCTTAACACCACCGTCAACGACCCTTCTAGACCTCCTCTTCGTTGGCACTTTGGGTAATTTTTTATTTTTTATGTTCTTCCCCTTTTTAATTTAATTTCATTTTTGGTCTGATTTTATATACTCGTGTTTAATTTTATTTTATTTATATTGTTTGTTTATTAATCTGATTTTTTGGGATTTTATTGCAGGCATTCAGAGCTCACTGATTCCAGGGCCGGGTCTGAGCTGTTAGACATAATCCTTAGTAAGGTATATATATCTACAATATATTTTCCTTCGGTGATTAATTGATTTGATTTGGTTATACAGTAGTCGATTTAATTAGGTATTAAACGATTAATTGCAATACTTTTCTTTTTGTCTGTCTGTTTGGGTAACGTGGTATATTTTACAATATCATAAAAAATTAATTTTTAATTATAAGATATTAGTTTGATTTGATATTTTACGAAATTCATATAAAATTAACTTAAATTTATAAGATATTTGCTTGATTTGATATTTGTTTCCATATATTTTGATTCCTTGTTTTGGGTGCTTCATAAAAATTAGTGGGTTTGATTCAACACTTTCCTTTTCGTCCGATTTTAAATCTCGGGGTATTCTCAATGAATTATATGGAATTATTATAATTGTTACTCCCTACTGTCCCTTTGTTTTTGCCGCATTTGACTTTGCATCGTCTCCAAAACACATGTTAGAACGCTTATATTTTTATTTTCATATGCGTACACATGTTAAAACGCTTATAAATTATAAAAAATTTATATTAAATAAATTTACAATGAGACGAATCAAACAAAATCCTACGTGATTATGTTTTTTTTTGTTAAACAACGGGAATTATGGTCAAAGTTTTCAAAGTTTGACTTTTATTTTAACAATGGGGCAAAAAAAATAGGAACAGAGGAGTACGAAAATTGTTTTGGTATTTTGTTTCCTTGAATTGGGCACTTAAATTGGGATAAAGTCCATGATTGAATGATGTGTAATGTGTGGTTGATATATGGTGGGTAGAGAAAATCCCTTGATTGATTAAAAAAAGGGGGGAAAAAGAGATCAGATCTGATCTGAGCTTGTGTTGTAAAGCAAATTTTAAATGAACCAAAGGGCAATCTGTCTATGGCCAACCTACTCGTCTTTGTCAGTGTAAATTATAAATTAAAGTTACTAATTTCAAATTTTAAATTTAAATTAGTGTAACAAGACAAAGATGATAGTACCTTTCTTAGTAATAATAGTATAGTACTATATGTGATTACGCAACTTATGAAGATGCCTTCTGTATTCTTTTTGTGTCCAAATTTGCGACTAAATTAAATTTGATTTGTCTTTGACTGATTAAACTGAACAAGAAAGTGATTCATTTTAACAGTAAATTGACCTGTAAATGTAATATTACTTGTGGAATATATTGAATAGTTTAGGCTTATTATGGATGGGATCTAATTCGGGTGAATTGTTTGGACAGGGTGTTCATGGTGCCGAGAGGCCAAGCACACCGGCAGCATCGTCGCCCCCGTTTTTCAGTGGTTCGCCACCAAGTAGAGTCTCTAACCCATTAATTCAGGACGCTCGATTCCGGGAGGAAAAACAGTTAATTCCTCCATTTTCACCAGTTCCATCATCGCCGATACAGGCTACTGCATCAGGGTCTGCATCCTCACTAAACTCTTCCACAAGGAAAGGGGGATGTGTGAGGGCGAATTTTGGTAACAACCCGGCAGTTAGAGTTGAGGGGTTCGATTGCCTCGACAGGGACCGCAGGAACTGCAGTATCCCTGCCTTGGCTTAGGAACGAACCCCATCGACATCCAAACTCAAACCAAGTACATATAGTGATCATCAAAACAGAAAAGCCTTAAAGGCAAATATAACATTTTAGCGAGGGATAAAAAAAATTACAATAGCAGCAGCATGAGAAGAATTTTGGTAAATTTCTCAGAGCAAAAGAAAGAGATATGGAAGAGTTGTTTATTTTGCAGTGTAAATATGCAGTTGTTTAAAAGAGGGTTCCTTTTTTTGTAAGTACAAGGTACAACCAAAAAAAAAAAAAAAAATCCCATGTAATTAGTTTTGACTAAAATAAAAAGTGTGGGAATTTAGAGTCTAGTTATTTTTTTAGTTGTTGGAGTCTAATGTGAATATGAGGGAGGGGAAATTATTTCTGGTACTTGTATTTTGTATAAAATGCGGCTGAATTTCTGTGGGAAGAAGAAGTTGTATAAAAAAGCTGCATTTGGTATTAAAAGTCTGGTCTGTAGAAGTGATAGGTTAATGTATATATGAAGATGAAGCCCATTTTCAGGGTTTCTGGTTTTTAAAGTGTTTTTGTGGTCCACTTTTTAATTGATCGTACTTAGATTTTTGAAATTTGGACGACGTGGGTTTCTGCCTAACCACATGTGTTTTGCTAAAGGACTGTTTTATCGTACAATTGTCACGAGTAAATACCATAGTTTTAGAAAAAATCTCTTGCATATATTTAACGTCTAAAATTTAACTTGCCATTTTTTTTAAGTATACCCCACCTGGTTCATCTTAGCTCCAATTACATCTGAATTTGACTCGGGTTGCACATCGGGTTTATGGTGAGTGAGTCTCCTAACAAGAGTTTTCTACATTCGATAAGATTTGAACTCGAAACCTTCAAGCTACTTTACCACTTGAGCCAACTCTTGTTGGTACTTGCCTTAATATTTATTAGCAAATCTGTTTTTCTTATTTTTTTTGACGGGGTGTATTATGGACTTATGGTTGATAGGTTTAAGTGGTAGATAAACTTTATTAATTAGTCTTAAGATTGAAGGAAATGTGTCCTCAACTCTCGTGCAATTACTAAATATAGTATGGATCGCATTATAGAGATAATAAGTTCGTATAGTTGAGTTGTCTTTACGTCTTGAGAGACCAATATTGATCATTGGATTAAACCAATGCTAACTAAATGAATCCTATGAGGTCACACGTTACAGTAATAGGTCGAACAAGAAAACCAAGTCCAAAAGTTGGGTTTTGTGGATAATCGACCATAAGGATTAGAAGGAAAATAAGTCTTACCCTAATTAGATAATGTGATTATATAATTAAGGGTTTGGGAAAAAATAAACAGACGTTCATCTTTCACAAAGAAGCAACGTAATACTTTTTCCTTCCTCTCTCTCTACAATCGGTTAGAAGTTCTCTATAGAAGAGGAGATTAATCTCTCCCGTTCAACTAGTATTGGTGGAGGTTCGATCTACCCTTGTGGACTAAGAATAGAAGAGCAACAATTGGGGCTCTAATTTGCGCAAGAAGGTCGAAAAAAGCTTGGGAATTCACGCATCAAAAGGTTAATTCTAAACTATTATGTGATCTTTTATCTGTATATGCATGAGATCCTATTTAGGTGCGTATGAATGAGATTCATGAAATTCCACTTATAGTACCTAAAACCCTACCAAGATGGGCCTAAATATGTGGATTTTCTTTAATTTTATGGAGCATCGTGTTTCCTCTAGGTTAGATAACCCTCTAAGTTACGATAATGCTATTTATTTTGTCTTTAAACTCAGTATTTGTTCTCAATTAGACTACTTAGATTCTTTCAAATAAAAGTACAGAGTACTTCCTCTGTTTCCTAAATATTGTTACATGAGGATGTGACACAGATTTTAAGATTAGGGGAGAGAGATAGAGAAGAATAAATATAAGTACCCATGTGATGTTAAGAGATAAAAAAGAGAAAACATGTGCAAATAAAGAAATGTTGCAATATTTGTAGACCTGACAAATGGGTCGTTCGGGTCGGGTACAGGTCGGGTCGGTTTGTGTCATTTCGGGTTTCGGTTATGGCTCGGGTCAGGTATCGGGTTGAGTTCGGGTCGGGACATTTTCGGATCAAGTATGTTCGAGTCATATTCAGGTCGGGTCTAAATAGACCTGACAAACAGGTCGTGTCGTGTTCATGTCCAGGTCATTTATAAACGGATTGGAACTCCTATACTCTGACACAACCCATTTAATAAACAGGTAACACGAATATAACACATGTAACCCGTTTAGTTAAACGGGTCGTGTTCGTGTTAAAAAAACTATACATGTTTACCTGTTTAATCAATACTTGTTTAATCAAGAACCTGTTTAGTGTTTAATGACTTAATTTAAAATTCTGAATTCAGTGAATTGTGACATGATTTGCTGCTAAGTTACTGGAGTTTACACTTTACACAGTGTGAAAATAGAGCTAATCAGCTGTAGGCCTGTAGCTAAGTTTGAAATTACAGACCACCTAAGTTTGATACTTTAATTGTTCAAAAATTACATCACTTCATTGTTAAAAAAAAAACAGAATGTTCCACATAGAGCAAGTTGCTTGGAAAACTTGCTGAGTTGCTGCCTGGGCAAACTTGCTGAGTTGCTGGACAAATAAAAGGAACTTGTTGGCTGCTTGGCCGGAAGTTAAAGGTCACCAACTCAATCCACCTTCGCAGCTCCTCTTGCAACTTGCAAGTTAAAGGTCAAAAGTGAGATTGATTTATAGTATTAGACGAAAAAATAGAATGCATAATACATTAACAATATAAATATATAAAACAGAATGTATAAGACTTTAATACCTAATCAAGAACATTAACAATAGGTTTGAAAGTTGAGCAAGGAGTGCTCCCACTTCCACTAGCCGATAGTGGACTTGCTAAAGTGCTTGGACATGAAGAGTTATCAATATCAATCTTCAAATTCATGATGTTGTCACATATATCATCCACCCCAACAACATCATCAGCTAATTTAAGGCAGAAATAAAAAAGATTTAAGGCCATTTGAAATCAGAAATGATAGTATAATTTTTTTTTAAAAAGGACAAGTTAAAGAGAATCACCTTGTTGTCCATACAATCAATCTCTTAGACATATCAAAGCTTCCACAACAGATGGCTTTAAAGAGCTCCTAACAGGGTCTAAAACCCTTCCACCAATACTAAATGCAGATTCAGACGCAACAGTTGAAGTAGGCTTACATAGGAGGTCTCTAGCCATAAGAGAAAGAACGGGGAAGCGTAATTGACAAGACTTCCAATAATCAAGGATGTCTAACTCATTGACACAAGGAATTAAAGGCTCCTCCAAGTACAATTCAAGTTCAGATTTTGGTGTACTAGCAAATTCCACTCCAGAAGAATCATCAAAGTCCTAATTAATCATGTTCTAATAAGTAATAAATAATAATAATAATAATAATAATAATAATAATAATAATAATAAAAGTAAATATTTAATATACCTCCATGAAACCATCAACAGTAGCAACATTCACACCTTGATTATGATTAGAAGTGGTGGAAGGCCCACCATTGGAACGAGTTGAAGAACTTACATATGCATCAAACATTTCAAATAGCTTTTCTTTCAAACTTGACACCTCAAAAGAGGCATTTGAACCATATACTTTGGCATATGAAAAACTCACAAACTGAAATTTGAATCGAGGATCCATAATTGCAGCAATAGCCATTATGGGAGAGAAATCAGACCAATATTTCTCAAACTTACCCCACATTCTCAATGCCATCTTTCTAACAAAAGAATCAACATTTTCCATTTCATCTTTCAACAACAATCTTACCTTCATAACATACATTAGGAAAGTAAAGATTCGCAGTAGGATACTTTGATCCAGAAAAGGCACAAGTAACATCATAAAAAACTTTCAAAAACTTGAAAATTTTCTCAAGCCTAGACCACTCATCATTTGTTGGACAATGCACATCGTGAGTATCAGTTTTTTAAAGATGAACAAAAGCCTTTCTATAAAACATAGCATTCTCTAACATCATAAAAGTTGAATTCCATCGAGTTGGCTCATCTTGCCTCAACCCCTAAGCTGAACTCAATGAAACATAAGCAACACAATAAAAAAACCTTTGTTTTCTAGCCTGTAAACCCTTGCAATATTTCACAGTTTCTCTAACCTTACAAATAGCATCATCAACCTCCTTAAGTCCCTCTTAGACTACCAAATTCAGAATATGACAGCAACAACGAATGTGAAAATATACCCCATCACACTACAAATCAAGATTTCCTTTCAAACAATCAACAAACACATCATTCGCAGAAGCATTATCCAAAGTCATTGACATTATTTTTTTCTCAATTCCCCAATCCTTTAATAGTGTGTAAATTTTTTCGGACATAGCAACACCAGTATAGGGTGGTGGAATGAAAGAGAAGTTCAAAATCCTTTTTTGTAAAGTCCAAGAATTATCAACATAGTGTGCAGTGAGTGATATATAGCCATCAGTGGTAAGAGATGACCAACAATCAGATGTTAAAGAAATTCTCCCAGAAACTTCATGTAAGGCAGCAACAAGTCTTACTTTCTCCATATTATAAAGTTTAATTATATCATTTTTAGCGGTGTTTCTAGAAAACAGTTTCACATCAGGTTGCAAGTAATAAAATAAATTCCTAATCCCTTCATATTCAGCAAATTGAAAAGGCAACCCATGCTTAACAATAGCAACAACAAGCAAATCACGAAAACCATCAGTATTAAAGGTAGGATTTCTAGTTTTAAGACCATCAGAACTAGATTGCAACAACATTTGACCAACATCTCTACTATTTTTCTTCTTACAGCTATTTGAATGTCGAAGTAAATTACCAGTACCATACTTGCTATCAGCACTATATATTTGGCCACATTTTTTACACTTACACCACAAATTACCATCAAGGTCAGGTTCTAAAATGGTAAAATTCACCCACACACCAGAAGTAAGCTTTCTATAGCATTTAAAATTCTTACCAGGCTTGTAAACATGCCCGATTTTCTTTCCCTTTTCTTTGCTACCTCGTGTAACAACTTCAACTTCTGCCTCAGCAGATTGTTCCCCATCAATTTGAGTTGATTTAATTGTTGAGTCCATCTGAAATAGACGAGATTAAGGAGGAATATTAGTCGAATAATAAAATACATTAAACGAAAAAACAAAAAAAAAACAAATAATATAATCGATTAGACCAAAAAACAGGGAAAAAACAGGAAAAAAAACAGAAAAAATAAATTAGACGAATTTACCTTAAACAGATGAAGATAATTCAACGGATCTACAAAAAAACAAATAATAAAATCGATTAGACGAAAAAACAGGAAAAAAAATAGAAAAAATAGTTTAGACGAATTTACCTTAAACAGATGAAGATAATTCAACGGATCTACAAAAAAAAAAAAAAATAGATTATACGAAAAAACAAAAAAAAAAAAACAGAAAATAATAATAGAAATTAGACAAAAACAGATGAAAAGAAGTGAAGAAGATGAACTTATAGAGCGGCTGCTATGGAGGAGGGTTGTGCGTCTTCGACTCTTCGTTCAGGATGAGAGTGTGAGGATTGAGGAAGATGATCGAGGAAGATGATTGAGGATGAGAGTAGAGAGTGAGAGAGTGAAAAACTGAAAAGTGAAAACCAGAAAGAATCAAAGAAGGGAAAAAAATCTTTAGCCTTATATATGACGGCTGCTAAGGACTTAGGTTTTTTTCTTAGGTTTTTTTTTTTTTTTAAATAATTCGGGTAGGGTTAGATGTTTATTTTGCGGTTAAACGGGTAAACGGGTTGACCCAAACACAACCCGCTTATTAAGCGGGTTGGCCCGTGTTACGATTTTCAACACTAACCTGACCCATTTAACTATTCGTGTCGTGTCGTGTCGAACTCCTCAACACTAACCCGCTTATTTCGTGTCCGATTCGTGTCGTGTTATCGTGTCGTGTCAGTTTTTGCCAGGCTAGGTCTAAATCAGGTCGGATCATGTTCGGGTTGTTCCATTTAATTTGTGGATTTAGCTCAAATCAATTTTAATATTTTAATATTGTTATAATAAGAACTATCAATTCAGTTTATGAGCGTGGTTACAGTTGAAGATGAACAATTTAGATTATTTTTGGCACCAGACATTTTTAGTTCAATTATAAGGTAATTTTAGTTCGGAACATTTCGAGTATTGAGTCTGTTCAGGTATCAGGTTTGTTCGGGTCAAACAATTCGGGTCAACTTCGGGTCGGGTTAATTCGAGTGTCGGGTCATGATCGGGTCAACTCTATTTTCGGGTCGGGTCAATTCGGATTTCGGGTCATTTTCGAGTCATTGTACTTGGGTCAATTTCGGGTCATGGCTCGAGTCATTCGTGTCGGATCATCGGGTGTGGGTCAGGATTGTTAGGTCTAATTATTAGTGAAACATTTTCAAAGTAATAATTATTCAATATTTATGAAATGGAGACTACTTAGGTTTTATGTGTTACATGAGTTCTAACAAACTTTGATGTATTAAGACTTTTAAGAGTTAAAATAAACCAAACCAAATCCCATCATGTTAGGAGCCAAAACGTACCACAAGTATATTAATCACTTAGAAGCAATTTTGGGCATTTTTTGGTTTGTGGTTATTTTTAATTTTCCTTTTTGGTTGGCAATGTTTATTTTTATTCTATGCAATAAGGACTAATTTACACAGGAAAATGACTTGCGAATTATTAATATACTTGAATACGAAATGCTTCCCAATATGTTAGGAAGAGTACTTTGTAATCAATAACAATATGATAAAATGTACACCAGTAATGATATGTGTCATCTCTTGATTTGGTTTTGTTTTTTTTTTTTTGGCTAAATAAAATTCAATTAAAGAAACAAATCTTATACAAAAATAATTTCCTAATCTTATACAATATAAAAAAGATTTCGCATATGTTTAACACAAATATTTATATAGTTATAAAAAATATTCTTAACATAATTTTGATCATTTTATACATCATTTTATATCTAACATATCTTTCATAATCCTTTATCTTAATCAAAATTTTTGGAAAATTTGTTAAGAATAAGTCAACCTTTGTACATTTAGCTCATAATAAGCCAATATTTCAATTAACTAAGAATAAGTTGACTTTTAAGGAGTGTTTTCCTTAAATTGGTCAAATGACTTACAACCTACTAAACAAGTCATTTCTTTCATTTTATTAATTACAAAAATAATTTATTTAAATTAATTACTCAAAACGTTTAAAATAAAGATAAAAATCCCACACCCATTACTGACCAGGCAACACCCCCACACGGCCACACCTCGCTAGCCACCGCTCGGACCACCTCTCTCTCCTTTTCTATCTCTGCTCTCCCACCGCCAACCCTTCACCCCTGACCCCTTTCTCTTTCTTTCCCTGAACGCCGGCCGACCTCCACTGTACTCTCCTCCACCTACCCCCTTTCTGTTCCCCCTCCTACAACACCGGCCTTCGTCGGCCGAAACCAACCCAAGCCCGCAGACCCACACCAACACCCACCTCAAAACAACCGTACCCACCTCGAATCCCCACCCTAACCACCAAAATATCATCATATCCACCCCAAACCCGACCTTAATCTTCGAAATCCATCCGAAAAATCCGCCCTAAAAAACTCAACACTCACCCGAAAAGCCCTTACCCATAATTTCCTGAAAAAAAAAAATATAGAGAGAGGAGGAGCAGAGGCGGAAATGAGAGGGGAGAGAGCGAAAGGGATCGCCGGTGGGTGTTTAGGCTGGTGTGATGTATCCGGCGGGGGGATGTTCTTCGTTAGGGGGAGGGGGGATTTTAGAAAAAATTAATAAAAAACATTTATTTTGATTAAAAAATTATTTTATTTTAAATTTTAAAATAAACTACTCATATTAGGACATGTGGCATACTTAATCTAAACAATAGGTTACTATCTGATGCGTTTCTTGATTCGTTTAGTCTTAGGTTCAAACAAGCTTCACTCGTTTGTTTTAGCCTAAGGGTTCTAAATCTGATTTCAAGGTTTCACTCACCTTAATATCGTGATTTAGGGGTTTTTGAGGATAGTTTGAATTAGCTTCACTCACTAATTAATCTAACCTCTCTTAAATCAGGTTTCACTCGCCTAATCTAAAGGTTTTTATGTTTAACTTCACTCGTCAAACACAAAGAAAATCTGAAAAAAGAACGTTCCAAATTAACAAGCAATAAAGCCAGGTTTAATCAATAAAACAATCTTCTTATTTCTTGAGTTTACAAGCCTATTTATAAGCAAGACTCTCCTAGAAAGATTAGGACAAGTCCCTAATTCAATCCTAAGCAATCTAGACTTCCAAACCAACTTGGAGAACAAGGAAGCAAACCTTGAACCGCAAGCTAGCATGACACGGTTTACATAACTAACCAAATAAGATAGAATTTGATTAGTTATCTAATCCAACTAGAACTATAGCAACCCTTGGATAAGATTTCAAACCCTTGGATAAGATTTCAAACCTTACCAAGCTTGCTCACCAAGCAAGGCCACACGCCTAAAATCAGCTTATTAACAAATTAACTAACTAGTTAAGGAAAACCAAACTAACTACTTCCTAACTTAAAGAAACTGATAAATAGATTAAAGATCCTAATGCTTGAACCAAGAAAAACCCTTTTAAGTGAAAGGTAAAAACTTGTAAGCAAAATCTAATTAAAGAAACATTAAAGAAACTTCCAAGAACCTTCAAGAATGATCAAGAAACTTCAAGAAAGTTCCAAGAACGAATCAAGAAAGGAAATCTTGAATGCTTCCGCATCACTATCAAAATCAACCGGTCATGACTCATTGGGGAAGATATCTTATAAAGGTTGACTTATTTTTAGTTAATTGAAAGATCGGCTTATTTGAGCTAATCACGCAAAGGTTGGCTTATTTTTGACAAATTTTCTTTAATTTTTTTTTTTGCTCTACCCACTTTTTATTTACAAGTATATGTTTTTCCCCTCTTAACTTCAACGGAATATAAAGTCTATTAGCAAACACCTTATACCATCTTACCATGTTCAATTTACTAAAGGGTGTGTTCTATTAACCTGATTTTCACTTATCTGAGCTTATCTTATATCTTATCTAAACTTACCTTAACTTATTAGAACTTATTAAAACTTATTTAAGTTGTAATTTGTATTTGGGTAACCCTTATCAGAACTTATTTTTTCTGAACTGAACTTATGTTAACTTATTATACTTGAAATAATTGAAAATAAGGTGATCAGAACAAGCAGCCACCATTTGCTTTCTTCACAATTTTCTTACTTCCATCAAATTCCATTATTCATTTTTCTTACTTTATCCAGATTTAAAAGTTTAGGTTCATTTGTATGTTTGTTCTGAAAAATATATAATAAGTATGAATTAAATTATGTCAAAAATTTAATTTTCTAAAAAATATAACAATTTTGGCATCAAACAAAATTTTAAAACACTAAGATTTGAATCGGTTTCAAATATTTGTGAAACAAAGTCTAGACATGAGCTCAACTTTTAGTAAAATCTTAAAGCAAATCACAAGTCAAACCAAAACTGTTGAAAAATAATAATTTGCATGATGGTTTGGCGCAATAATTTAATTAGATTGCAATCTAAACACCCTAAGGAAATTCAACTTTTGTGGAGCATATCCTTTGATCAAGCTTGTATTCGCTTAAGTACATGAAATGATGAAATGCTTGATAGGGTGTTCAATTGATGAGTCTTTAACAACGACTACAAGGGTTTAAGAGTATTTATGTATTTATGGTGGTTGATGTAGTAGTAGTATATCATATGTGATAGAGTATATAAATCGATTTGGGCTTCAACTATCAGCTTAATCTTTTGATTGAGTCGGTCCTTCAACATGGCAACAAGAGCCAGCGTGACACAAAGATCATAGATTCAAATCTTATCCACCCCCGCTTTTAAGTGGAATATTTCGCTCAGTGTATGAGGGCCCATGCCGCATCCACACTTCAAATCCCAATGGCTCTTATGTGAGGGAACGTAATAGAACCAATATCTTAAACTGGTGGTTGAAGCCACCTAACTAGCGATTAATATTCCACTTTGAAAGGAGGGGTGGATGAGATTCGAACCCGTAACCTTTGTGTCACGCTGACCCTTGATACCATGTTAAAGGACCAACTCAATCAAAAGTTTAAGTTGGTTGAAGCCCGAAATCGATTTATATTTTATCATTTTGGTTGAGTTGGTCCTTCAACAACATGAACCTTTGAATAACAATGGATGCTTTGGAATTTGGTTTAAATGCTAATGACAAGTTTATTTTACGTGTCATGAAGGATACAATGAAACGGACTTGTTACTAGTAATAGTATTAGCAGGTTTTAGTTAGCTAATACTTTCGTTTGTAGGCCTTTAGGTTTCTAATTTGTACTAGCAAATCGGTTAAAGGGCTCCAAGTTGAGCTAATTTCCTAAAAATAGTTGTTTCTTAATTAAAGTTGGAGTAAGGAGCAAGTATAGTATTAGTTATAATTAAAGAGAACCAAACCAAAAGCAACACAATTTTAAATTAAACTTTTGTGTGTTGAACTCTTCGTTTTAACATCGAAAATTAGATTTAGGAGTGAATTTAGATTTAGAACTAAAGTCTTTCATTCATAGAGATTTAGAAGGTTATGATATACTA